AACACTGATGATTGGTTGCAAGACTAAACTCCACCCCAAAAGCCTGGGCGTGAATAAATACTGTTAGTTCGGACCCAGACCGCTGAAAGTTGAAGGCACAAGGAGTTAGCTGGGAACATTGATGGTAGACTCGGCCGCGATGAAGTCTGTATGCTTTTTCTCTCTGAGTAATCGCCTTTGTGACACTATGCGATATTCTTCGGACACAGCGAAGATGACTTACAGAAAAAATCGCTACTAATTCGCAGCTAATACTGAGGGTGTGGAGTTTCAAAAAAAGGAGAATCCGAAGTGTTATTTACGCATAGCAAATTTCTAACAGGAAGGAGGAGCGCCCGGCGTAGCCGGGCGAACTCATAAGGAGGAGGGAAGCTCGGCGTTAGCCGGGCGGCCCGACTGGTGTCCTATAATTTCATCACCCTGACTGTCGCGTTCACTTTGTTTATACGGGTTTTTAACGCCTCGAATGTTGTCGCAAAACTTTGTGGTCAGGCCGTTATTTAATGGCAGCTCCCCAATACCAACGCGTACAGTTCTTTGACAAAATCCATAAAGTGGAGTCAGCCCCACTCCTCTACATTTACTTACGTAGTAATTTCACACGGATTCAAAGTAAATGGTTTCAGATTCCAACCCAACTTGCCCTGCAGAAGCTTTCGGAAAAGGTTATAGAGCACAAGAATATGAAGAACGTATTCGACATTCCCGAGTTTAAGGCTAGAATGGAAAAACGTCAGAAAAAGGCAAGCAGATCGAAAATTAAATGATATACTCAGCTATTGGTAGGACTTGTTCCTTTATTTTTATTTTGACTTGCTCACCACTTGCAATCGTCACGATGGTCATATGAGCATTAAAAGCAGTCGCAATAATCAAACAAAAAACACTGTCCATTTCCACAGATCGATAACACTTCTACACTTCTGGATTGGCCGGTGACGAAGGGGAAAGTAACACTTCAAACAGTACCTTTTGGCGTGCTCTTCCGCCCTTGACGTTTATCAGAGGAACATTCTGTTTAAATGGTTGTTAGGACTAGCGTGGGCTTCATCTCGTAGCCACTGCTATATGAAAGAGCAGGATAATTCCAAAGGCGTAGTCGGTTTTAGGGCCACAATGCGGAAGTAACAGTCTATGATCATCTGGTCAGGCTTCCTGAGGGGAAAATGGACATTTTCAAGGTTGGCTGTTGAGTCATTCGGATTGTAGTGATTGTAATACGTCGGCGAGAAAGTACTTCGACAAGGCCTAATGCGTTAGAAGTTCCGTATAAACATATTAACAATGTGAACAAGATAGCAGTGATAAACTTCTAGAAAATTTCTGATTGGATAACACTGGATTCGTAATATCATCTTTTGCTAGGCTCACCAGGGGGAAAGGCAGGTAGCGGCCGAAATTATCAGCAGCATATTTGCCAGGAACACTAATGAACGATATCGGTCAACATTTGATTGAACCTATTTGATGCACGAGACACTTTGCCATCAAAGTCTTCGCTCCGCCTTCTCAGGCGTCATTTTCTGAAAGAAAGCATTCGTGAAATACGTGATCTGAAGGTGCTTGTCATTGAATTCTTTGAATCACGATTCCCTGACTTCTGGGCAACAGGCCTCAGTAATCCGCTAAAAAGATGCGAGAAGACTGCAGATTTCTCCGATGAGTATATTTTCAATATTCGGAGAACTCTGGCAATCAATTGGAGTGATTCTCTTTGTCGGAGGTCTTTCTTGCCAGGCTAATGTTATATAGACCAGTAGCTGCATCAGAACTCATAGTTAGTTTTGTTGGATTGACTTGTTTGTTTTCTAGATTTATTACATGAAGAAGTTCACCGAATCCAATCCGCTTAAAGGATATATAATCATGGAGTATATTGAAGACCTAGTATCAGTACATTGCTATGAAATACTTACACCGGTTGAAGTGGAACAGGTATGCGACATATTAAAGTTTATTAGGTCGGAGATTCTCTACGCAGTTTGGTAGGTCAGCCATGAAGGCTCTTTAACTGCAACATCGGAACTTTTCCGCTCATTTTTCGCCATTCGTAGATTCATATATTGAAGATTCTCCGCAACAAAGCCGTTCTTGAGGCGACCTCGCTAAATTTCACAACAGAGGAAAAAAATGAGTTCACAAAAACTTCCCTCGAGGAATTTTATGCAGAATTCCTCTCAAAAGAGGTGAGAAACAATATCATTCAACTGCTCACTCTAGTCCTGTGGTTGTTGACCTTCCACTCGGCTCTTTTGTATTTTTGCTCGTCTCTATATGTAACCAATTTCAAACTGTCTAGTCAGTGGAAAGTATAATGACCATATTCCGAAACTTCGAACGTGGCAAATTCAAGGAAAAAGCTCTTCGTTTGGAGAAGATTGTCTCAGACTTGAGTGACTTGTCAAGAGTGGATTCACTTTCGGAAGAGTGTGGTGAGCTAAGTTTTACCAGTCTTCTAACCACTTTGAGGAACTGTAAATAGTTGTTTCAGCGACTTTGAGAACTTCGAGCAGTAATCAAATGCCGTGGTCGAAGTTTAGATTAGTGTGGTATCCGTCTCATAGATTCGCGTCTAGGCTCAAATGGAGGTCGACACTGCAGAAGCTCAAGTACACACACACTCCGTTTCTTTGGTCACTGATTTTCTCGAGCTTGCGTCAGTAATAGTCGCATCAGTCGCAGGTCGGAGAGGTCCAGCGGATCGTAGAACTCATCATGTTGACTTCTCGACCTAGACACCTTGGCTTGTGCATTTGGAGTTAATCGTTCCATCAAGCGTAGAACGAGCTCCAGGTAACGATCCGTTCCTTATGGACAACCTCTTCGCTGGGTTCAGTCGTAAGCCGATCTTCCCACAAGAATGTCAAATTCGATCAGCACTAGTTTCGTTTGATCAGTGTTTGGTGTTATATGCACGAAGTCGTCTGCAAAGCGAAAATGATGTGAGCAACCTTCGTCAACTTTCATCAGAATGGGTTCCCAGGCTGAATGACGCATGATGTCTTTGAAAGCGGCCTTGAAACGTTTGGGCGAAATAGTATCGTCCTGCCAGACTCCCTCTTAAAATCGACAATGACTTTTTCGTAAAAAAGTGAAATTCTGGTCGTGATTTTGTTGTATGGATCAGAAATCATCCCTATCCACTGACTAGGGACACTACTATTGTCCAAGTATCAGAACCACTTTTTTAATCTCGGTTTTTAAGCGACTTAAGCGGTTACCAGATGGGTGCTTCCAAGTGCACGCCGATAGCTGGTACATTCGAAAGGAATTCTACTTTTAGGGCGACGTGGGCCTCTAAAATTTCATCAGGGACCCTGGTACGGTCCGACGAATAGAAATAGAAATCCTCATCGACCTCATGGTTCGTCTAACTTTAAAAGGGAGAACTGAAAGAAAGGCACATCAATCCTGTTCCAGATGGTATGCAGACAGATAGACCTGCCTGTCAAAGGCATACTAGCAGAATATGTAGATGACATTTCCATTGCCTTGATATGCAGTAATAGGTCCAGAACGACAAAGCGAGGTCTCTCGGTTGTGCTGTTGGCGAAGCTCCTGCAAATGTTGTGAATGTCCGGTTATGGCTGGAACTCAAGAGCTGCTGCTTTGCTCTCACTAATGTTTCCTACCGCTATTCTGCATAGATTGACAGACTCGGGCGTTAGTTGGTGATTGTTTGCAGCGCGGCTACTCCACCCTGTCGCATCAACGCAAAAGTTTTGCACATAGACACCTTTTGGCGTATTGCCGGTTTTCCGTTTCAATAGCACTACCGTGGAGATGTTCGGCAAATTTGTATGTATTTGTGGTTAGTTGTATTTGTGGTCGATGTGCTCAATAACGGAAACTTCCCAAAAGCTTGCAAAGGAAGCAGAGTGGGTCCCGTTGATAAAAGTTCTGGAACTTCGCTCTCCGGAATTCGGAGCTCCTCTCCACTCATGGAAAATAAACTTCAGCGCAGAGGAGACGATGACCCGATCCAGTGTAGAACTTCGCACAACAGCGACATCAGTAAGGCGAAACTTTCGATTGAAGATGTGATCCACCCCATTATGAAACTGTCCATCATGTAGCCCATGTCCATCACAAATGAGATAGCTTATGAAACTGCGAATTACTATGGATAGTATGGGTGAACATGATAAACATGGGCAGTCTTCCAGCCTGCTCATTCTATTCCGTTTCTTGGGTTTTGATGGTAACTCTTCAGCCGCTCCTCTTCATCGAAATATAGCGTTGAAATCACTGACGATGAGCTCGAACAAACTACATGTGATCCTTACTATAGAGACTTCAAGTCCATATAAAACGGTTCCAGCTTCTCATTCTTCTAGTTACATGGTATTGTATAGGTAACGAAGACTGTCAATGTTAACACACGTGCGATGGTATGAATCGTCCGAACAGCAGAAATTGGAAGCCGAACCCCCGAATTCACCCCTGTCTCTAGGTACCGCTGATTTCTGGTCCTCGATTTACTCCCTGTCCGCCTCCTTTGATTAGGCCGCGCATCATTTTCATCAATCGGTTAACAATCCTCCATTGAAGCGAACCTTCAAGGAAGAGATCACTAGCTCTCGTACAATACTGCTGAGATATTTTCAAAGCACTCTGTGATAACGGACAATGGACATAAAATGAATCCCATTCTCAACAAGTTGTTCACAACTCGCGAGATTCAGTACAAACACAGTATTTTGCTCATCTTTTTCGTACATCACCGAAGTATTTCTCTTTTTTACCTTCTATAGTTGAATCTGCACCTCACCTTCGTTGACTTACCACTGAGAACAATTACGCTTAGTTCTATTACATATTGTATCTGCAGAAATTGTAATCAATTCGAAACTGGTATTACAGTAGCTAAAGTTGAGAGCTTCCAGCCTACCCTTTCCACCAGTTATTTGCCGGGTTTCCCTCGTTGTCGTCTTCTCAATGATATCTTCACATCACATGTGATAGAACTTTCATAGGAATGGAACGAGTTTTGTGCCATGGAGACTTATGGTCCATGAATACTCTCTGGAGGTTGAAAGAGAACGGGCTCTCTCTTGCAGCTCTCATAGATTATCAGGTATGGTTTGAAATGAATATGCTTCTCGTGGGATGAACTTTTTAGATTCAGATGAGTTTCTAGCTCCTAATATGTATAATAAGAGATCTTGAGAAATGTAGACTTCAGATTCAGAAAAGGATCGAAAATGAGATGGATCAATTGTAAAATACTGTTGATTGAATCGAACAAGACGTTAGAAAGCTTTCTGAAGACAATGAGCCTATATACATATCTGGCCGCTTTCATAGTCCACCCGCGTGGCGAGGCAGTGCTGGTGGGGGGGAGGAGAAAGGCAGACGGTCGGTAGTCCCTTTGAAGGACTGTAAACGAAGAGAGACAAGACCAAAAACCATTTGCACAAGCCCCTGCTTGTTTGGTTTTGATCTTGTTTTCTTTGTTTTCAGCCCTTCAAGGGGCTGACCTACCGTCTGCCTCCCTCCTCCCCCCTAGCACTGCCCCGGCACGCCAGCGGACTATGAAAGCAGTCTCTGCGTACATTAGTCGGCATGCTTTGATGACGCGATACCGATCGCAGATCTATGAATCTTGTTTAGACCTCAGTTGAGGTCATTGAATTCCGGATGTATGAACGGAGCCCTGGTCGCAGTTTACAGCAATATCTTATCGAGTCGTATTAGTAGCCACGATGAGTTCTGAGTTATGAAACTTCCAGCTGCCAACATCCATTTTTTGAGAATGGTGACAATGTGCATCTGTCAATCATCCATTCCAGGCAGCTCACTTTGGATGCGCTGGAACAGATTTCGTGCGTTTATTTGTCACATGCCTGAGCGGAAAACACCGACGAGCCCATTGGGAAGAACTCTTGGAAGTCTTCTACGGATATCTCCTAGAAGAACTTGGCGGTAGCAAAGTGCCATATACCCTCGAACAGGTATTGGAAGTTTGGATTCGAGACACGGAGAAGAACAACGGGATCCCAAGATGCGTTTGCTGGTAATAGGTCAGGTTAAACATGAAATGAATAGTGCATAAGGCAAGATGGAAGAGCACATATTATCGTAGAAGCGTTCCATCTACAGTGGAAAGGAAAGTACCTGATAGCACACTGATTAGGCTCGGGTAGAACCTTTTGATTTGGCCTCACTACTGCTCAGACAATGAGTAAAAATGGGCAAGGATCAAAAATGTGTAAAAAAATGAAATGAATGAAGCAGGCCGTGAGCGGAGCGGTCCCACGGTCTGTTGCGTTCTCTGAATAAATTCGTACTCGATACCAACACACCTTTGAGACCAGATAAGTATTGTTTAAGTTAAGCGACGGAGGTCTGCACGTGCTGAGCATGCCTAATCTACGAGCTTTTCTTTCGCACATGTTGAGTGGGGTATGCTTTCACGGAGGTTTATAATTGTCTTCGAACACATTGTGAAACCCTACAAAAGTAGGTAGAGGCTATCAAGAAAAGTAGCCAAATCCGTAAGTCGATATGGGCTAACGTATCGAGTTTAGATCAAAAATTCATGCCTGTTCAAAAACGTCCCGGAATCTAGAGAAGAGTGGGCTGAGGGTCTCAAAAAAAAATTGGCCAAATCATGGTGGTGGGTTGCGTGTATACAGACATGGGAGGGACTAAGGCCAAAGGTTACGACTTAATTCCAAAATGTCCTTTGTTGTTATGAACAGATGAAACGGTCTCATCATCAAATGAGCAGTTCTTATCAGCGGTAACGGTTGAAATGCAGTGAAGTGGCTAACACTGAACGATTTTTCTGCCCTAATTCAGAAGGCAGTCGACTGCAGATCAGTTAGGTGGAATTAGTAACGATAATTCATGATAATGAAAAAGCGTCGAACCTGTTAGGCCTAGTACTGCCCACAATTAGGAGACTTGTCCCCACCTTTAATATCACTTTGATTTCAAATTTGTATCCTTAATACATTGTTTTTAGCTCAAAGAGTCATATCGACGATTCTTTCCGATCGGTGGCTTCATTGCATTAACATTGATGGGAACGCTTTTTGAGAGCCTCTTCAAGTACTCAGACGAGGGACTGAGAAAAAAAGTAATTTTCCAAATAAAGCTCATGTGCATTGTAGAGAATACAAATATTTTTTGTTATGTAAAAACTTTTCATTGTAGTGTCTGGAGACAGTGTGTGAGAAAATCGACTTCGTACTCGATGATATTTTTTACTTTCATGACCGGAACACCAGAATACAGAAAGGAGAACAAGTTGCCTGAAGTACTCAAAATCAATTTTTCCACCTTTTTTAATCGTGTTAAAATTTTCATGTCACGGTGACATCAAGAAATTGAGGAAGTTGACATTGAAAGAAAGCCGGACTCAATACCGCCATCGATTTACTCATACCAGCGAATTCCTAGCAATAGTTCATTGTTCGAACTGATAAAAAAGGTCATTTTAATTTTAATTTTGCTATCTCTGAGCTCCGCCCTTCGAATGTTTGAGATCACTCTCTATTGTGTACTGTGTTTTGTTGTTTTACGACCGTCATTTCGTCACTTGTTAGATTACCATAGTTCGTACAATNGAAGATTAATGAGGCTATGACATTTTTCTATATTACTGTTCTAAGACACGAAGACCCAAGTCCTCAAGTCTTCGAACAGAGGACCTTAAAAGGTTGGAGGGTTGTCTCCCTGATCTCCGATGGCTGGTGCAACAAACACGGAACAACATCGTGGAAGTCACCTTATGGTATGCAGGGAGGGTCGGGTGAGGGGAATACTGGAGACGGATTTGAAGCAAACAAGACAGCGATGCGCTGGTTGATAAAGCGAGTTAGTCGTCCGGCAGATGAAAGCCGCCGATGGACAAAGGACTCTACAAAAGCTTCATGAAAATTGCCAAGGCTGAAGTGACGGAGCCGAAGATTACGGAATTAAACGCTTTGTACGAGAATCCGGATGGCTCAGAAAAAAAGAACTTCGCCTTTTGCTTGGCCAACAGCTCCGGCTACTTACGACATCTGTTACAGAGAGCCTTCGAACAGCGATGGTGCCTTTAGAGAAAGCCAGCCATCGAGTTTAGGCAGAGGTGGAAAGAATACTCTGGCAAGCTCTCGAACAGTCCATTAGAGCCGGCGACTAGTCTCATCGCATTCAGGGTGATGGAGTTCGTCAAGCGGCAGTGAGGAGAAAGGTGAGGAAGGCAAATGGGCCGGATGGTGTACCGATCGAGGCATGAAAAGCAATCAGAAAGCGAGGGATCTGGTGGTTCACCCAGCTCCAAAACACTATGAGTATTCGAAAAATTTTTGTGAAGAGCATCTACTTGACATCGAATATCCATACCCAGAATTTCCCTAACTGGTAAGCACCTTACTAGTGTATCACTGACCAGCTACCTTCATATTCTGATTGTTCATCATTCATCGAACATTCACTGCCCTCAACTTTCTGAAGGTGGTGGTACTTTCTGAGGGTACTGTGGTCAACTAGATCCATATTTTGCTATAGCTGGACCACATAAGGGATTTGCTACCATTGCGATTTTTCGGGCTCACAAAAACTCTCATTCCTAGCAGTGGCAGTTATGACTTCTGCCTGCCTAGAAAGACATCAATCATTTCATTGGAAGGGAAAAAATGGAAGGAAACTAAAAAGCAAGCCGTTTCTTCGAGACGTCATAACTCTCATTCTTGAAGAATTGCTGAGGAGTTGACCATTCTTGGATGTCAGGTCAAAGACAAAAAGCGTTAATTCATTACATTTGTATGTAATCTCTATGACACAGAAAAATCTATTCCTAGTCAGTTGACAGTTTTGAGTTTACTATCAAACCAACGGATGGAAGTCGCCGAACTGTGGATCTTTTTAAAGGGTACACTACGAGCAATGAGTCGTAGGTAGGAGGCACATCAAGCGACGGAACCAAGTATAAATACACCCGTCCACTATAAGTTGCCAGACAGAAGGAGGAATCCGACTCTCGTGATCTTATGCAAAACTCCGCCGTTGCCGGTCCCTGGCCTGGTTGAGTAAGGAGGAGGGTTGGTGTGAAAGGCTAGAACCCTACCACTGCAAAAAAGAAAAAACTCTTCGAAGACATTTAAACCTGCTGCACTGAGATAGCCAAAGTTCAGCTCTGTGACGGAAAATATCTCGATGCGGACTTCGCTTTTCTCTCCCAAAAAGGAAGCTTTTGTTGGAACGTGGATTGTGCGCGCACGTCTCAGTCTGAGAGCCTTGCACAACTACTTCGAGAGTTCTACAACTGCCACATGGATATACAGGGGATTAAGGAAGTCTGATGTAGTGGCAAGGCTGTATTAGAAGCCATAAGAAGACTATATTGTTCACTAGCCCGGGCTTGCTACATCTATTACAGTGGTCTTCGTCAGCATCACCACTGTTCTGTGCAGTACAGGTTATGGAGCCATGTTCATATTTCTCATGCAAGATCGTTACAGTTCTTATACGTCAGTTGAATTGGCTTTCTTCAAATATAGCGTAACAACTCAACACATTTCTCCCCCTTTTTCATTTATTTTTCAACAAGAACGTCGGCTTTATGATGTTCAAATGGTTGGATTCATTGGGTTCACCCTGCTCCTTTTCTACAGCATTGTGCAATTAATATTTTTGCTCAATTAGCATGTGAGATCCCATGTAGAATTCAACAGTACCTTTCCCATTCAAAGCTTTTCAAAGACTGTGCCTATGAACCGAACATAGAAAGGCGAATGCCCAGTGATTCATGAGCTCTCTCCAGTAAGAATTACAAGCAGAACAAAAACCTTCAGGAAGAAAGCTATGAGATGGAGGGAAGGTGGCGGGAGGGATACAGTTTGGAAAATGGAGGATGGACGCCCGTTAAAATTTATCTCAGAAGCTCCTCTCAAATGTTCATTTTAGACTGATATGAGGATATTGTCATGCTTGAATTACTTTCAAAATTAAGACTTCATTTCAGGATGGTCCAATATTTCCAAAGAGGATCGTGTTCCGTTTGGTCAATGTTTTTTCTCATATGTCAGTGCATGGATGATATTATTTCAACGATGATATATGGGAAAAATCCTTGTTCTGATAGGAATGCGAAAGCAAAAAGTAAGGGTGAACTATATAAGATGTGAAATATACTGAGTAGTTTGGTGCAATATCTAGAGGCCTTGACCTCGCAGATTTCCTTACTTTGGTTGAGGTTAAAGCTGTGGGAGACTTCAAAAATGAAAGGAGATCATTCCAGAAGCAAGAGTTACGATCGCTTCTTCCTTTGACCCTCATCTTCTCCATCGTCATTAACCATTCATTAAACTCCCATACCAGAAACACAATGATATACTTCAACTTCCTGCTCTGAGAAGGGCTGCTCTATAAGCGGGAGCAGTCCAGGGATCACAAAGTAATGAAGTTGAGACTTTTGAAATGTTCGGGATAATTCGTTCAATATTGAATATCAATCGCTCATTTGCTTTCACAAAGGAGCAAATATTATAAGACAAACGACTCACCATTCTGAGACACCACTTCCTTGTCCCATTATGCTAGACTTGCTTGAACTTCAGGAATTAAGACTTTTGTCATTTCTGACGTTGAGGGACATGGTACAGCTGAGTACTAGGTGCCGTTGCACATTGAAGAATTCGACGAAACTAAATTCACCGTATTTTTAGACGTCTGTAATTATGTCAACTTCGACAAAGATGTACCCTGGAAACCAAGTGACACGATTCTGTTGATCTGGTGTCTTGTTGAAATTGTTCGAATCAAGTGTCCAATTTCTGTCTGGTGAACCGCCTTCATAGACACGCGGTTGCATGTATTCTGCACACTATACAGTGCGTTTCAAAAGTATGTGCATACCAAACATTTTGTTCTTTGGAAATACCATTGCTTTCTGTAACCTGCGACCTCCACTATTCAGTTCCTTGTGTGCGATAACCTACGAACACTTTCTCTGAGAAGACATCGTAGCTTCTAACATAATTTTTTATTGAAGAAAAAATTTTTCCCTGTTTCAAGAGTATGTGCACACTTAGTAAAAAACAAAAATATAACAGAGATCAGAAATCAACAGGGCCCGCTAGATTACCGTGAAGGGTATCGACTACGAGGAATCGTTTGAGAATGGCTTCGTTACGGGAGGTTCTTTAGTTACCTTTAATATGAAAAATTTTGAGTATGCACGTACAGCAACTGAGCCGCTCTTCTTCATGCATTGCTAGATTCATTCAAGACCCTGGAAGCTATCGCTCACAACCTGTCTTGTGGCAAATGTCTGTGAGTCAGAACCGAGCTCACATGGGTTTATCAGTCTCGCGTACGACCGTTTGGGGCTCTATCCGCTCTGATGAGTATATCACACGAGAGACGATGAAAAAGGCTACTCGACTCAGTACACGCCACAAGCTGACAAGGCTGGAGTTTGCTCGTATGAACATGG